TGCTCTCAGTTCCAGCCAGGGCAGCAGCGCAGGGCCCCAGGCCACCTTGCAAGGGTCGCTGCTCCCTCCATGGGGGCGGGCAGCCCGGCTATGCAGGGCCCGGGCCGACTCCCGTCTCGCTGGCACACAGGCACTTCAGGCAGCGGTACCAGGTGGCACTGGTCTTCCTACCCGAGGCGATCTTCCTGCTGGCGCTCTTCGGCTACCTCGTCTTCATGATCTTCTACAAGTGGCTCACGTTCAGTGCTGTCAACTCCCTGCTGGCACCCAGCATCCTCATCCACTTCATCGACATGTTCCTGTTCACCGAGAACCCCGACAACTACCCGCTGTATCCGGGACAGGTAACCCCGACCACATTTGCTGTGCCCGGGATTGGTAACCCGCACAGGTAACCCCGACAACCCCTCTACTGGAACGGGTCACCCTGACAACCGCCCGCTGTGCCTGGGACGGGTAACCCCGACAACCGCCTGCTGTGCCCGGGACGGGTAACCCCGACAACCGCCTGCTGTAGCTGGGTTAGGTAACACCAACACCACCTGCTGTGCCTAGGTCAGGTAATCCCGACACCACCTGCTGTGCCTGGGACAAGTAACCCACACAGGTAACCCCGACACCACCTGCTGTGCCCGTGACAGGTAACCCCGACAACCACCTGCTGTGCCCAGGACAGGGAACCCTGATGGCCACTCACTGCTCTGCCCGGGATGGGGAACCCCCACACCAGGCCAGCATCTGCAGCTGCTTTCCACTGCCCCACCCAGTCCAGTTCCCACCTGCTTCCCAGATCAGACCCATAGGCCCAGCCCCACTCTCTGGCCAGACCCAAGGCTGGCGTGGTGGGACCCAACCTCCGGTTCTCATGTGCTGCTCACCCTCTGGGGCTGGGCAGGGCCGGGTCACTGGCCTAGCTCTGGGTCTCTTGGGCCCACTCCCAGGGGCAGCCCCGCGTCTGCCACCCTTCCTGGGCACACAGGCAGCACAGCCCGGCCAGCTGGGCCCTGGAACCAGCTCCTCAGCTGGCTGTGGGCGCCCTGCGCGTCTCCATTCGCCCCTTCGGGGCCGGCGCAGCCGGCCAGCCATGGACACGGGCTGAGGCATGTGCTGAACCGGCCATTTGACTCTGGACAAAGCACGAGAGCTACACAGCTTTGCACAGAAACCGTCCTGCCGGAGGCCCCGGGTCCAATCTCCCCCGGATGGGCCCTGGGGCTGGGCAGCCCCTCCACAGCCAGGGCCCCCTGCCCACGCTGGTGTCGGCCCCCAGCACAGAGCAGCAGCCTCTGTAAAAGTCAGCTCGGTGCGGAGACTGGGATGTGCTTGGGGCCGGGCGGAGCCAAGGGCCTGGATTGCTCTGTGCCAGCTTCTCTGCCAGAGGCATCACACTGGGTGCCGAGAATGGCTGCGCTAGTCCCCTAGGGGAGCCCCTGGAACAACATGGGGTTCACTGCCTGATGCGGCCAAATCCCCTGCCTGTCACAGGGCCCATCCATCCCCTCTGCCAGCGCAGCTCACACCAACAGGCCCCTCCGGCCTGGTATCCCCCCCCCCCCGCACTAGCCTGCTAATCTCCCGCTCTGCACCATGCCCATGCTCGATCGGACCAATGGCCCCTCTAACCTGGTACCCTCCCCCCCATGTTGGCTCAGCCCGTGTCGGGGGTGGGGATGCTGCTCTCATGACCCTCCCCCCTCTCCCCACTGCAGGTGACGGTGCAGAACGTCCTGGTCGTCCTGGCTCTGGCCTCCGTGCCTGTCCTGCTCCTGGGCACGCCCGTGTACCTGTGGTGCCAGCACCGCCGCAGGGGGCACCCTCGTCTCGGGGTAAGGGGCTGGGCGGGGCCCTGGAGGCCCCTGGAGGGCTGGGCTGGCGGCAGGGTTGTGGGGCTCTGTGGGACCTCTCCTAAGGGAGCTGCAGGTGCCGTGGGGAGGGACGGGGGCTGTGATCTGTGGGGTGTCCCCCCCACCCCTCATGTCTGATGTGTGGCTCTGGGCTCTACACAGCTGGGCCCACCTGGGGACGCCGGGGAGCGCCAGCCGCTGCTGAGCTCACAGGAGCCGGGGAACTCGGTGAACGTGATGGAGGCCGACGTGGAGCGTGGCGGGCGTGGCCCTGAGCCTGAGGTGAGATCCCTGTGGCACTGTGGTGGCTGGGGAGAGGGACGGGTTTAGCGCCACTGGGTGCCGGGACAGTGTCCTGCCAGTCCCACTCAGCATAGGGGAGCCCCACAGCAGCTCTGGCCCCGGCCACGTTCCAATCTGTGGGCCGGAAATGTCCCTGCACTGAGTGGGGGCGGGGCCATTCAGAGGGGTGGGGCTTGACAAGCTGCTGCCCATCCCCCCAGCATGGCACAGAGTGGCCCCGGAGTGGAAGGACGGGGCCCTGCGGTGGGCAGGAGACCCTGAAGCTATGAGCGGCAGGGACGGGATTAGCCCCCCTGCCCATCCCAGTCTTCTCGCTCAGCAGTGCCCTCACCAGCGCTCTGGGTGGGCACAGGGGGCGGGAATGGGCGCTGCTGGGTGTCTGGGCTCCCATGTAGCCTGTGATCTGTGGGCTGTCCCCCTCCAGCACTGCGAGATCCAGCCCCAGCCGACAGCCAGCTGGGTGAGCTCCAGATGGTCTGTGTCTGCCCGGGCCCACGGCCAGGGGCAGAGAGAGCTTGTGGATGGGCCTGGGGTCAGCTCAGCGTGCCAAAGCTGGAGGAGAGTGGCTGGGCGTGGCGCCCCGCTCCCCCCGCCCGGTGCTGCCCTACGCCCCGCGGCCGGGCGTGGCGCCCTGCTCCCCCCGTCTGGTGCTGCCCTACGCTCTGCGGCTGGGCGCAGCGCCCCGCTCCCCCCGCCCTTTGCTGCCCTCCGCCCCGCGGCCGGGCATGGTGCCATAGCTGGGTGCTGCCATTCACCCCGTCCCACTGCCTTGGTGTCTCCCGCAGTTTGAATTCTCTGAAGTCTTCATGCACCAGGCCATCCACACCATCGAGTACTGCCTGGGCTGCATCTCCAACACGGCCTCCTACCTGCGCCTGTGGGCGCTCAGCCTGGCCCACGCACGTGAGTCGGGAGTGGAGGGTGGGGGGTGTCTCACAGCCTCCTACCTGCACTGAGCCTGGTCCACACATGCTTTGTGGCCCCTCATGCAGACCCCTGGAGAGAAGGGGAGGAGGTTATGGGTGGCTGTGGGGGTGGGAGGGAGGCTTGCCTGTGAGGGGCAGGGCGGGGTGGGTGCGGGGAGGGAGGCGTGGGGGTAGGAGGGAGGCCTGTGGGGGGCAGGGCGAGGGTGGGTGCAGGAGAGGGAGGCGTGGGGGTGGGAGGGAGGCCTGTGAGGGGCAGGGTGGGGTGGGTGCAGGGGAGGGAGGCATGGAGGTGGGAGGGAGGCCTGTGATGGGGCAAGGCAGGGGTGGGTGCAGGGGAGGGAGGCGTGGGAGGGAGGCCTGTGAGGTGTGGGTGCAGGGGAGGGAGCCTGTGGGGGGGGCGGGGGGGGCGAGGCGGGGTGGGAGGTGTTGGGGCAGGGGGGCATGCCGAGCTCTGACCCCCCCATTCCCCCTGCAGAGCTGTCGGAGGTACTGTGGACCATGGTGATGCGGAACGGTTTCCTGCTGCACGTCTACGCGGGTGGGGTGCTGCTGGTGCCCGTCTTTGCCTTCTTCGCCGTGCTGACGGTGGCCATCCTGCTGGTGATGGAGGGGCTGTCGGCTTTCCTGCACGCCCTGCGCCTGCACTGGTGAGCCCCCCCGCCCCATACTCGCAGTGGGGGGAGGGGGGAGCTGCTTTGGACTCTGGGGTGTGGGGGATGGGCGGGTCTGGGGTGGGGCAGCCCCTGGGATGGGGGAGGCCCTGGGTGAGTTTTGGGGGGTGATGTCTGCGCTGACCCCCCTCCTGTGTTGTTTGCAGGGTGGAATTCCAGAACAAGTTCTACGTGGGCGCCGGGTACAAGCTGAGCCCCTTTGCCTTCCCCCCCGACAGCTGGGAGTAGGGCCAGCTCGGCACCAGGTGCCCCCCGCCACCCTCACCTCAAGGGGATGGTGCCCCCTCCCGCCCTGTCCTGGGGCAGGGGGCTCCCTGTGGGTTTGCACCTTCTACCCTGGCTGCTGCCCCCCGCCCCCCTAAGCCTGGCGCTGTTTCCCCTCCCCTGCCCCTCCCCTCCCCTTTGGTCTGGTGCTGTCATCTGCTGCCTGCCGGAGCCTGGTGCTCCCTGCCTGGGCACAGATTACGTCTGTCCTGGCTTTTGTACGATTAAAGAGTGAAACTGTCCCGTCCCTGTCGGCGTGTGACGGGAACCCGCCGGGCCTCTGGTGGCGCTCACGGGGCCTGGCCAGCTGAGCTCCCGGCTCTGGAGCGTGAACCTGCCCTGCCCTCTACCCGGGCAGCTCTCCCCGCAGGTCTCACTCGAGGGGCACCTTGCACAGCCCCCGCCGGAGTGGCGCTGCAGTTACCCTACACTGGCACCAGCTGGCGCTGTCTCCCCTTGCTAAACTGGGCCAGCACCCCTGGGTGTGGATCATGTGCCAGGCCAGCTGGGGCCAAGGCTC